AYYYMTTTTMMTTTTGCATTGACATTTGATTATACGAGAGGGACTCAATTTTTTAATTGCTGATCATGTCACGATAGACTCGCATGGTTAGTTCCACCTTTCGGTCGGTTTATCTGTGATTCTAATGACAAGTTATTTGTCCCGTGCCGACCCGCCCCCACTCCTGGTGCGGACTGTATCTCATCGACACATTTAAACTATCACTCTCCAATATATGTCGCTGAATGAATATTCTCCATGCCGTCCATCATACGTTCTTGTAACGCTTCCGTTAAGAAGTTAGCGTCAACTCAAATAATATCCCCCACCCTACCCCTGGTTCGGTAAGACTTTCCTACTTTCTTCCAACCTGTCTTAGGTTGTTGACAGAGTATTACTATAGTAAGGAGTGGGGGGATAAAAGGATTTAAAATGGAACTGCGTTTCGATGCTTCGTGCAATTTTACCACGATATCTAACGCTTATAAATAATGCCACTCCAGAGAGACTAAAAGAAAACCGTAAAATTTTTTCTCCGATATTGAGCAGCATGGTAACGGCTGTAGTGTATTTATTAAAATCAAAACACTCCTCGTGGTCCTCTAATGTGTTGTTTTTACATATCACAAAAAGGAAAAGCGGCTCAGTAACCTACACGCCGCGAACACACGGCTANATCTCATTTATCACTTTCACGGGTTTATTACGAATCAACTTAACGGCCTGCTCCCAGTTGGCTTGTTAGCTCAATTGGTAGAGCGCTGCACTAGTATCGCAGAGGTCAGTGGTTCGAATCCCGTACAGGCCTGATTTTTTTCAGGTCTGATTTTCGCTATTGCTTAAATAGCGCTATCTACTGCGAGGATCGTATATCATATGTATCTAATACCGCAGTTCAAAATATATGTACTTCATATATTTCATTGTATCTGACTTTGATCTTCAGCGAGTAATCGACTTCTTGGTTAAATGTTTATCGTTATGGCACTCTGGTACTAAAACAAAATCTCTATATGCGAGCCTTCCAAATTTAATTTTCTTTTATATTATGATAGCCATGATGTCAAGGTTTATTACCTTTCACTGGATATTTAAGTGTCGCCTATTTGGTTAAAGTAACCCACCCGTTTCCCCCATGCTAAAAGAAAGAAAGCCGAAGTAAAAAATTGTCTGAATTATTTAATTCTTCTTAAAATGATTATGCTATCGACGTTTGGTCATTTTCAGATATTTTTCGCTACAGGAAAACCTTCTACAGCAACAAAAGAATAATGAATGTATTTACTATTGACATCAGACAATGCACTGTAACCAATTGGTTTGATTATTGATTGTGGAGGTTATTTTTTTCTTTGCACGAAGCGCTCAAAATCAATTTCAGTCAAAGTGTTCCCGATATGGTTGGTCTTGAAATGGCTTAAGGGGTTTCTTGGCAACCTCATCCATGACTGTTTCGTCACCTAGTCTCCCTATAATGTACTCGCAACCCTCTAGATGTGGCTGGATGACGCAGTCCGCAAATTTCTTCATGTGATTTTCCAAATGAGTCAGTGGCGAGGATCCTTGTGACAAAACCTGATAATGAAAGTCTTTTTCACTGAAGGTCTTTTTATGCGCTTCAATTCTGGCCTTAGTATCATTTCGCACCTGCCAAATCCGCAGCTGACCAATCATGTAAGCGGTAGCCTGACCCGGGTTGCTTTGATACCTTGTAACGTCTTTCTCGGCTTTGTCAGTTCTGTCCCAGGCTTTCTCGGAAAAGAGTTTTAACGCTTCCCATCGTTTCATTCCTGGAGAAAGAATAAGATTGCCAATCCTCCAAGGGTTAGTGAAAGAGACACAGGTTACGCACACAATTTACGTCCTGCCAAGTACATGGGTTTTGATAGACCTGTTTCTGCCTTTGCGTGTCGCCGAAACGAAGCTCAGTTGAAGTATTGAAAATGACCAAACAGATAAAATGAGATTGAAGGTAAATACGCGTAACGGGCTTCGAGTGCAGAAAAACATCCATGATCCACTCGCGATTGCTATAGTTTGATATTTGATCAGTTGCAAGAATTTCACGAGTTTTCAAGACGAACTGCGAAGCAAAACCAATGCAGACCTGGACTCCTTTCGACTCAAAACAAAAATTTCTTTGTTTTAACTGACCTTTATAATGTAGCCCGGAATCTATCATCAGGCGCAGTGCTCGCCATATTTGCCACTTGATCATGCCATACAGCTGAAGCGGTTTGTCGGCATAAGCGTCTGTCTCTGCAGCGATCAGCGGATTCTCAGCATATAGAGCCCAGCCCTCCGTGAATGCAGTGTAATAAGAGATACCGTTCAACCAACTGATAACATCCCCACACTTGTCACTGAATAATTCCTTAAGCCCTTGACCCTATTATAAGAAACAACAACAACAACAACAACAACAAAAGATGACGCCCTCTTAGAAACGTCTGTTATTTATTTACAGGTAATAACACGATTTTGAGTGCAATTAGGTGTTAATAAGCACGAGTACATTTTTCAATAACAACGAAATTGTACGAGCCCAAAAAATTTAGCAAATGCTTCTTTACAATTGCAACCTGACGTCTGTTTTTCTTGCTTTTACTTGTGAAGATAACTGCATCACTCTACTGACGGGTGTCGTCAAAGAGAATGCGCACAAAAGGAGTGAAAGAGATCAGCGATATGCAATCGAAACGTTATGATTCATGTTGTAAGCAACTATAGACGATCAATAATAGGCTTCGTTATTGAGAGAGAAAAATTAAAATGGCTATATAAGGATAGTGTGGCTAGAAATATCTTGTAGTCCCAGTTACCTGTGTGTGGTGCCCTGGCCTTGCCTCTTGTGCTGCAACAGAGAGAGCACTGTATTTTGGACCCAGGTCCTTAATAAAGAACGGCAATCTATACTGGGCAGGTTTGGTGCAATCTTTATCACTGGATCTGTAACTCTGGGATCCAGTCCCTGGATTAAAATTTGCGACCATTTGAACTGGACAATTCGGAGTGCTTTGATGTTTACCAGTGAAATAAAACATGTGAGTAGTTTTTGGTTCAAGATCACCAAGCAGAGCTAGATAAGATGAATGACGCGGGCAACTTAGGCATTAGTTGAAAACTAACCGGGTTATTTTCAATTGACTATAACTAAAGCAAAGCTTAATGCAATACACATTTGGTTACTACAACAGAAAAGTTTCCAGTTAGCTATATTTTCCTGCATCTGCCTACATGACATATCTCGCGCATAGCAGTTAGTAAGGCAATGGGAGGAAGTTTGACATTAATGATAGTATTGTAACTTTTTTCATTGACAAACATTTAGATTGTTAAGCAAAAGATAAAAAAAAAAAACATGCTCTTCTCCTCATCGTCTATGCTCACCGCATCATGAAGAACGAATATTCAAGATACTCAAAAAATAAGCTGTAGCGAACAAAACAACAAAACAAAAACGCGAAACTTTGCCATTCGCCGACGTGGACTAGGCCTTAGCCTTTCGTGAGTGAGGGAAGCCACATATAAAGAATGAGGCAATCTCAATGGGCTCTTTGTTCCCTGTATAGAGTAATGTGGTCACATTTGGGTGGTGGATGATAACGATAATCCATCGCTAGTTGTCCAACCCACACGTCAGTATATGTGATTTATATCATGATTTCTATTTTAGACAAGACACTTACAGTTCACATATTCAAACCACGCCTTCATAGCTTGATATCTCCTAGGACAGTAAATCTTTGCCTTCACCATACTAGTGCACTTGTCAAATGCGTCTTTGTTGCTCTCGTTCAGTGGAATCTTCTCGCCATTAAAATACATGCTACGATCTTCCAAACGTTTCTTAAGTTCCTGTATGGCTTTGTCTTCACATGTTTTGTCTGTAATTTTCTTGGCTATTTCAACCGCTTTCGGATAAAGCTGACGGACCATTCTCTCCCCTAAGGAATACACGTCATTTGGTGTCATTTCTGTCGTCGTAAAGTAAGGTAGCAACATCTCATAGGCTCTTTTTCCACTCAAGGACTGTCCAGTAGGTAGTTTTCCAGTAGTTCGTATTCTGGTTTTTTTTCCATATTTGTAAACGTAAGACAGGGGTAGCGAAGCCAAACCGCTGGACAATATATTCGGGACGCAGTGCTGCGAATGGTTGAACGCCAAGTAATTTAATAACTCATCCAATGGTTTCCCTACGTATGCCACCAGAGAGTCATTTATAGAAGTACGAACAGAGACCTTATGTCTCTTCTCCCACGAGTCAGAGGCGCGTTTATCGAGTTTTGCAAGCCATTTTGGATTAACAATTTGTTGCGTGAATGATTCTGTTAGCACACCTTCAAAGATATAGAATCAAAGCAATAATTTAAAAAAAAAATGCAAAAATATGCGAACTATAAGCGTTGGTCTCATGCAATCAATTTCGTTCACTGACATTTGAATGAGTGGCTTTTGTATCTATAGCTAGCTTTAAAAATACTTTCCACCTTCGAAACGAGCCATTCCCTGTGACGAAAGGCTAGCGCTCCAGGCTCCTGCTCTAGAAACTTTTTAAGCAAAGGTGCCAATTTACGTTATCAACTCAGTTGATAAAAGCAAATTATTTTGCGATACCCCCCTACTGACGCAGCATCACGGCTTCTTTAAAAGACTAGTTGCGTTGCAATTTTTTAGGTGTTTATATAAAAGTAATCGCTCTCTTCCGAGTGAGCTCCGAAATGTACCGAACTGAAGATTGCTATTGACAATAAATTTTCACATACCCTTGGGTCCATGTTGGAAGACTTTTAGGTAGGCTCGCTGAATGGAGTATAATCCATATTGGCAATCTTCCGCTGAACGTACAAATCCCACCTTTATACCGTATTTCATGTTTTCAATGTACTGCATTATCGAATCTCTCACCAGCTTTAGCCGATCTATCACATAGCTCACATCATCTTCCGTCTTAGGCTGTATACCCCACCTCTGGTAGGTGAAATGAGCCTGTAGATCGTTTCCCATGTTGCATATTGGATGCCAACAGAACGTACCAGGACCGAGCATCCAATCTCCAGCGTAGTAATTCTCTTCGTAGGGTGCTCCAAAGTTGCTCTGTAAAAAGTGTTTAACTTGAGCGATTGCCTTGCTCTCGCGAGGCTTAAGCTTATTGCTGTTCACTTTTTTCTCGAAGCTATTAGCTTCTTGGTAAAGAGCTCTCGCAGCGTCCGTTCACTTGCGAATTGCACTGGGATGGGAGTTGTATGGAAAGAATTCTCGTTGGACTGATTCAGGTGTTGAATCCGGGTCATAGACCACATTGTTTGGATTCATCTTGTAATAGGCTGTTTTGACCTTGTGAATGAACGCCTCCAATCCGACGCGTTGCGCTTCACTCGAACAGCTGCACAGTACAGATGCACCTCTTCGCATGCGCAGTTTCGAAGCATCTTCGCTACATTCTGAGTATCCACCCAAGATCAAACTAAGTGTAACTCCTACAAAGCAAAACACTAAAACAACGGCTGTAGTTCACTACTAAGTAGTTTGAGGCAATAACAATACCGCTATTACAAATTTTATGGCAAAAGGAGTTATCTGTCTCTCTATGAAAATGGTCTCCCAGACGAATAAACGATTTGTTCAATTTCAGTTTTACGTTAGTCATCGTTGACTTTAAAAAGTGAATTTAGTTTGGTACGCAGTTTGATTTTTCTTCATAAGTCTGTGCGCGCTCGTAATTGCTTTGGAACTTTGCCATTTGTTTTCTTGCTGTGCTTATAAAAGTACCTGTACATGACTCTCAAAGCCAAAACTACATCGAATTGAATTGTACCGTTTAACCATCAACGCCTTCTTGAACTGACGGCACAAATTATGCGTCTTGTCGGGTTCCCATGAAAGGAGGGGGAGGGGGGGGGGAGCAAGAAAAATTACATGTTATTTTATAGTGGACTGATGAATTTATTCAACATTCGCTGACTGGTTTGGTGCTCCACTCTCCACTCAATCAATCTAGTACGGTGAATCTTTCGACTAAACAAGGAAAGATAAGATCGCTGTATTAATGTCTATTGTTTTTTCTTTTCGCGAAATGGCCTAAGTCCTAGTCTTTGTTCATAATGTCTCTATGAAGTCAGCTGGTTATGATTTTCTCACTTCCCCTCTCTGGTTCTGATTAATTGATTAATGACATTGATAACGTTGTCGAAACAAGCTTTTCTAACTGAATTAAAAGTTCAGCCTAGGAGGTAATCTTAGGCTTAAATTTGATTCCCTTTCGCAAACAGGCGCAAGCTAATAACAAAAAATACTTCAAAATAAACGTTCTTCAACTTCTCACCTCGTATTCTCCTCAGGGTTGTTATATGAATCTTCGTTAGTTTGTCAGATCACTTCATTACAACAGACTGGCTCTTAATCCGGCAGCTCATTCTACCATAGCTTATAAATTTAAATGATCACCTGAGAAACTTTTCAACCTCAGGGAGAAATTGATGGACTAAATTTTCATAAGGTTTGTTCGATTATGTGAGCTATAAAACAATTTCAGGTATTATACAGGTGTCTCAGAATAACAAACGGGTAGCTGTAAGAACCATACCAACCGTCGGTCAACCATCAACAAACAGTCACGCTAAACGAAACAGAAGTACTGGAAGAGCGTAGTACAGTCGAATCTGTTTTAAGCAGCGCCGTATTCAACGGTCTCCCTGCATGTATTGAGCGGTCGGTTACCAAAGTCCCGAGTTTGTTTCCCCTTTGATCACTGTAATTTTCACCTTCTATTTAGTGGTCACGGTCACCCTTTACAAAATCTTAACGGCCTGTTTGTTTTGTCTTTTACCTGCATTGTACGGTCACCTAAAGCTGACCCACTCAAATTAAAGTAAGAATAATCTTTCAAGTAATTTTTGATCCATGTTTCTCACCCGAAATAAAAGTAAGTAGCATTTTTTAGCGAGATTCTGTACATTAAGTGGTCAATTATAGCATAAAGTGGCGTTGTGTCATCGTTCTTTATACTATACCCGTAATCTGTAGAACTTGTAATAAGCGGTTAACCTGTATTCAGTGGCCACCCCGCCATTCGTAGGGGTGACCACTAAATACAGGTTCGATTGTATCACAATCACAATTCTACTTATACACATTCTGCCCTAAAGAAGAGTTCTGTTTCGATAACTTTGGCAGCGTCAGAGAAGGACCGAAAACTAGAGGTACGATATCCCTTGTCCTTTAGCTTCAAGAAAAATTAGAATAATTTCACCGAGCAAAAGACGTTTTTTGAAAACCCCACAGAAGTTTCCACCCCAAAGGTTTGTTTTAGAGGAGTTCTTGATAGTTGCTGATGAGAAAGTGGGTATATTCACTAGTTTGGGTAACTTTTGACCGTCTCCATTAGTTGTAAAGTCGTTTTGTGTGATAGCGTGGCTTGGGACACTCTTACGAGGATGATTTTGACCGTAGCGGATAGGTCAGATATTAATACAAGGTTCTACATGGCCATAATAATGTTGGGAATTGCCTCCAAGATTGAACCAACACACTTACATAAATCCCAATTTCTTCTCGTTTATTATCAATAACCGAACGCTAACAACGAAATCGACAACAACACCCCCCGCTGTCACTGTTGAAAGTCTCCTCCCCGCTCACGTGTTCTGCTCCATCGTTTATCACTGTCAATCATTGGTTTTGGGTGTGTCATTTGACACTTTCTCAAGTCACATTGTTTACGATCAAACATAGCGCAAATCACGCTAAGGGTAACAAACGACTAATGATCACAATATTACGCACGATTTCCGACAATAATGAAAGTGCCTGTTATGAAGGGGCACGATAAGTGTCGTGACGGCTGAATTATTATTTTCTGCAGTTTTTCTTAGTTGAGGTTCAAACACGTTTTCGAGTAATTTTAGTGCGCTTGCGGGCAGAAACGTGTATTGGGGTGTTCCGACCACATTCTTGGCGAATAATAGCTGTGGTCTTTTGCTTCCTGTTATGAATCATTAGTGGTAATTAAAGATTGTAATCGGATTACATTCGGCCATTTTACAGGGCTCGACTTTCAGAAAAAAATCTTGGGGCCACCTGGCCTCCAAGTTTTCATTTTTGGTCGCCAGGAAAAGCATTCTAGTCGCCAAAAGTTATCTTCAAGAAAAAATAGAATATAGTACAGTACAGGTCTTTTAATAAACCTCAAGAAAATCGTCAAGAAGTTACAGAAAGTTAATCCTGAATACAAGAGAAGACCTTCTACAAAACAGGCTACATACCTGGGGCTACATAGCCTTTAGAATGGCACTTGTTATGAAATTAAGTTTTCCGTTTTGTTACTGATATTTTAAGGCTTCCTTTCCAACGGTTCTCGCCCGTGAATAGTTAGATTAAGCACCGCGAAAACGGCGAACGCTGAACGTCGGCTAGCCGTTTGTCGTTTGCCGTTCAGTCCGCGATGTTCGTTTGTTTAAGCTTCCCGACGACACGGCAGAATCGCCATTCACTGCGACTAAAAATAATGGATACAAAGAAGTAATGTATTTTCCGCTCGAATTTGAACTCTATTAGTTTTAAGAGCAGTTCATATAGAAGTAAGATGATAAACGAAGCTTAGCTATAAAAGCAAGCGATCAAAATGTAGAAATAGTCGGTAAAAATGGGCTGCAAGTACTCACGTTTTCGCGTTCCCTTCAAACGGGAAAAATGTCCTCCTCGAGTAGAAACGGCGGCAGGCAAACGGCAAACGCGGGAAATGTAAGGTCACCTGACCCTCTCTGCCGTTCGCGGGAAAAAAAATACGTGGTGCTTAATCCCTCTAATGTCCGTTTGCATTGATTAACATCGCTTACCCGTGGGCGGCTGTCAATAGTGACTCGTAAATTCCCTCAAGGAGTTATTCAAGCTTCAGGAAATAAAATACACTTGCAGTTAAACAAATTTTTGGAATTACAAAAAGACTTATTTAGGCTATTAAAGAACAAATCTGCAAACATTTGTTTTGCGTCCCACATTTGCAGGAATGAACATCGGTGGAACATGATCTAGTTCGTTGCCTAGCACGTGATCGAAAGAAGATCATCAATATTTTTGGGGAAAAGTTGATTTGGCGAGAAGTCTGTTCGACAAACAGCGTGACCTCAACGGTACTTTATTAGAAGTCAATAAAGTACAATTCATCACAATAATTTATCACGTATGATGGACGATCCTCGCAGTAGATAGCGCTATTTGAGCAATAGCGAAATTCAGACCTGAAAAAAATCAGGCCTGTACGGGACTCGAACCACTGACCTCTGCGATACTAGTGCAGCGCTCTACCAATTGAGCTAACAAGCCAACTGGGAGCAGGCCGTTAAGTTGATTCGTAATAAACCCGTGAAAGTGATAAATGAGATACAATGAATATATGAAGTTCATATATTTTGAACTGCGGTATTAGATACGTATGATGCACGATCCTCGCAGTAGATAGCGCTATTTATGCAATAGCGAAAATCAGACCTGAAAAAAATCAGGCCTGTACGGGACTCGAACCACTGACCTCTGCGATACTAGTGCAGCGCTCTACCAATTGAGCTAACANGTGGTTCGAATCCCGTACAGGCCTGATTTTTTTCAGGTCTGATTTTCGCTATTGCATAAATAGCGCTATCTACTGCGAGGATCGTGCATCATACGTATCTAATACCGCAGTTCAAAATATATGAACTTCATATATTCATTGTATCTCATTTATCACTTTCACGGGTTTATTACGAATCAACTTAACGGCCTGCTCCCAGTTGGCTTGTTAGCTCAATTGGTAGAGCGCTGCACTAGTATCGCAGAGGTCAGTGGTTCGAGTCCCGTACAGGCCTGATTTTTTTCAGGTCTGATTTTCGCTATTGCTTAAATAGCAAATGTCAAAAAAGTTTACTACTGTAAAAAAGTATTACAATTGTAAAAAGTAAACATTAAAAAAGTTTACTATTGTGACTCGTGCATGTAGATTTCACTTTGCGTTTGCTACTGAGCAAGTAAATAAAGTAGCCAAAAGGAGAATGGAACACGATTTCATCGGCTTCATACGCGAACGCGAAAGTATCAGTATTGAACTCAATAAGGAATTTTAAAACTAAATCAAAAAATATTGGGGCCAGCCTGGCGACCACGTGTGAAAAGTTAGTCGCCAGTGAATAAAATGTAGTCGGATTGGCGACCCTACAGGTCGCAACGTGGAGCCCTGTTTTAATGTCGAAACAAAGTAAAACAGTCAACGTTAAGGAAATAAGTGTCGTGCACAAGTCTTGGATCACTAAGAAACAATAATGAATGTTTGACAGTTTGGGTTTGCGGCCGGACGTACGTATCTAGGGCGTTTACGTGCGATGACAATAAAACTAGTGAACTTTGTATCATGAAGAGGAGTGATTAGTACGGTGGTGATGAACGGAAGTACGACAGCAATAAAGTGAAGAAAACGACAGATACAGTCCTAAGTGTTTGTTTAACCAGCGAGCGTGGAGATATTCCTAACGCAGTTGAAGATTCTGCAAGAATAAGAACGGATTCTTTGTTCCTTGTGAGGCTCTATTATACTCTGTTGGGCCTCTTGTGCCACGTTTTCAGTTCTTATTTCATTTTGACGTCATCCATGATCTATGGCAGATCCAACGTACGGCAACACGGGATCCATTATTTTTTTTTTAAGTGTGAAGTACTTGGGCTTAGGTGAAATCATGACTTGAATTGATTAACTTTGCTTGGTACCATGCAATTTTAGTTGCCTAACACTTCAGAGTTAGTTGTCAGTTATATTACGGCGTTAGGAGGGATAAAACTAAAGATGCCTGATTCCGGCGAAGCTCATGTGAAGATTCATAATCATGCACACAGCATGTAAATAAATACCCCAACGAGTGTTGTATCACAACAAATCAAAGTTATTTTGTATTTGTTTTTGTGCCAGAACCGCGGCATATACCGAGCAACCTAACATAACGGACTAGGAGGTTCAAAAAATATAACGCAAGCTGAAGATATTACTAAATAGATTTGGAAAAAATGTATGAACGAAATAGAAAGTAACACACAATATTAGCATGCATGGTATATAAACTTCATCGACATCGTCCTTGAGAGGTTGATCCTAGTGAGCCTAACAATTCTCCTTTTATTCCCTTAATGCTCTGTTCTTAATGCTCTGCATTTGGAGACGACAGTGTTAGCCTACATTGACTGAGGAAGGGACACCAAAAACTTTTTCAGAAAATTCATGGGTTACATAGGTTACATATGTTACATAGGTTAATTGACCACTCCCCATGGGGGCTTTTCAGGGCCAAGTCCCACCCATCATCCCACCCAGGGGAGGACATCCACCACATAGTAATCTCATGCATGGGAAATTAACCTCTCCTACCCTTAACCCTGCAGAAGATGGGGCCTACGGTTTATTCGTCCTTATCCGAGAAGACTAGAATATCTATCCATTTCTTGATATTATAGAAAGGTAGCAAATTCTCCCCAGTTACTTTAAGACCATGAGTATTGGTCCGGCCGGGGCTGTAACCCTCGACCTCCCGCACAACACAATTCAGCGTTCTAACCAATTGAGCTAACTGTCACATTAGTAAGTTCTAGTAAATGATCACCTCATAGAATCATTGAAAACCTTGTTGCATAGATAAAATCGGCAAACCAGTTCTCTTACTTTTGTGTAAAATGTTGCATATAGAAAAGAATAATCAGCAATTTCCTCAAACACTATGAAATGAAACGCTAAACAGTACACTTATGCTGGGTAACGTGTATTAACCTCCTCATTTAATAACGCATGTAACCGCATTGAAACCTTCGTCCTTTCTTAGAGGCCCTAAGACAAAGTGTCCGTCGTTGGTCACTGCAAATTTCGGTTTGTCCTGGAGCTCAGAGGTAAAGGAAACACCTAGAAGAATTGTGCGGCGGTATTCGCCATCTCTGCTATAGAGCGAGACACGTAGGGCGGAATCTTTGCCTTCTGAGAGGATACACAACTGTTCACTAGGCTGATGAAATTCCATACCATGGACAACACCTTGTGGTTTCAGTTGAGCCAGTTCCTTTTTACCCTGATAGTATTCTGTGATGCCAAATATGTGAAGGGTGGAATCTTTGGGGTGTAATACGATAACATGTCCATCAATAATTGTACAAAGACAAGAACTCGGATCGACGCATGCAACAGTAATACTGCGACCATTCTTCTTACTATTTTCGTATACATCCACTATGAACGCTACATCTGTGGGTTTGAAGTTAGGGCCCGCGTTCTTGAATATGATTGACCAGTTGCGAACGTCCTTCTTCTTTATAAATGACACCAAAATGTTGCCACTGCTGTCAACCATTACTGAATGGACTTCATTTTCTGGCCTGGTTTCAAAGCTGTGATGCATTTTTGCCTGTGTATCAAAAATATAAACAGATCCTCCAGAGGGTTCGTTGCCGTTTCGGCTGGTTAGAAGATACACGTTGTTGGCCTGATCAGTTGCTAAATCTCTAATCTCAGTATTTTTCCATTCATCAGGAAAAGAGAAAGATGTGGAAAACTTGCCACTTTTGTCAAACACTTTCACTTTATATTTTTCTCCAATTATAAATTCTTCTTTCGTATTTCCGGCGATACCTGTTATCGATTTCAATCCTTGTTCTTCTTCACCCTCCTGACCCAACAACCAAGGCTTCATACTAATCTGTTCCTTTCCCATCTTATGAAGCTCTACAGCAATTCTTGCGTCGCGTACGAGATCGATTTTTTCTCCATCAACTTCAACACATGGCCATTTCAACAGTTGTCCGTACTTACTTCCGTCTTCCACGAACTCACGCGTTAGATCGTAAATATCGCGATTCATTTGACAGACGGAAGCAACAATTCCATTTATTTCATTCTTGGCAAACTTGAACTTGAAACTTTTATTTAGCTTTGCTTTGAAATTCTTCTGGACTTCAGGCATTGAGAGAAGGTCTTCAAGACACGATCTCAGGAAGTCTATAGAGCTCGCGGGGTTGTCCGCTTGCTCTAAGAAAGTCGCCATAATACGAATCGCCATGGCAACCAGGCGTTTATCAGTACTCAGGCTGTCGTTAGAAAAGGCTTCAATTGCTTTTTTACGAGCAACTTTGAAACTCTTTTGGGCTTTTTCAATGTCCTTCTTTGCGTCTTCACTTAAATCGACGGCGTGCAAGTTTTTTATTCCTTTCGCCAACGAAACAATGCTGTTTTCCTTTACTTTGATGGCCTTGATCGTTCCGACTGCCTCAGGCAGTCTTACTTCTTTCCTCTCAACAGCTTCTCTGCCGACTATTTCTTTGTCCAGAACCTTGTCGAGGGAAACAATTCCGTCATTGAAATGGGTTATACTGGTATTCAGGGGTGCCAATGCCATTCCTTCCAACTTCGACTTGATGTCGCCCGTGTTTTTAATGATAAACTGGCGTAGTTTAGCATCTACAACGTCGCCATGATTCAGTTTTTCTGCTGCTAGGGTGCGACCTATACTAATCAGTGCACCGATGGATGAGTCTATCACAGCTGTAACGATGGAAGACGACATTGCAGTTTGATGGCAGAAACGGACTGCACGATCAGGCAGGAATAAAACAGAGAAAAAGATGAGTCCCTCGTCACGGATTTGTGAAAATTTCTTCTGTTTGCCAACGGTTACAGTCGAAATACGTTTTCGTTCCCATGGATACCCCACTTAAAATGGAAACTGCTACGTGATGCTTCGACAAGTGTCTCTTGGTTGACTTCTTTCCGGTAATTGTTTTTCTCGGCCGCAAGAAAGTTAACCTTTGAAGCACTTACCCTTAAATTTATTTGGCGGGGCAAACCGATCAAGCTAACGCACGTTTTTGCAATTCTGCTCCAAGAACTGATTGTGCAAACCAACCTCAAGAGAAGAGAGGAAAGCTAGAGAGGCATTACATGCCCGAATCAACCACTATCAATTTATTTACAGTCGAACCTTGATTATTCGGACTCGTCGGGACTAAACGAAATAGTCCGGATAATTAACAATTATTCTTTGGAATCGAGGTGAAAAGTGGCTATATATTTACCGAGCCGCGAAGCGGCGAGGCAAATATTCCCGAAAGCCACTATTCATCGAGATTGAAAAACATAATTGTTTTAGTATATACACACGAAGTGATCTCGACAAAATTAAAAGGAACCCATTTAAAGTCAATTTCCTCTTGTGAAACTTTAGCGAAACGCGAGTTTACGCCCGCTATTTTGTTTTTCACATTATCCACTCGCTCGGAGGTGTACATTGTTGATTAGCCCGAGATAGCGAACCAATCAGATTGCTTGAAACGCCAAGATCACTGTGTGTATATAGTAATGGAGAATATGAATATTAATGAGGAACAAGAAAATGATTAAATCAAGAAAGCGACAAATTGGTTTTTTTTCTCCTTTCTCTCATTGCAAAATTATAGACTGTTTATCTTTTATCAAAAGAACGGGTCGCTTACGCTTTAAGTACATGATGATCATGAATAAACATTCGTGACGCCGTGTACGCCGAGCGAGCCAACAGAGCGTTAAATCTCACTTAGCAACAAAGCAAGTCTGAGCCGATCAGACCTCATTCGAATGTTCTTCATCAGTTACGACGCGTGCGAGCGCTGCTTTTGCTTTTTGAAAGCGAAACAAACTCACCTTTACTTCACTTTTTAATGCTATAGTTCTGAAAAGAATATGACTACGGATCTTGATCATGACTAATAAATATTCATGACAAAATTGGGACCAGAAAAGAAGTCCGGATAATCGAGAAATCCGGATAATGGAGGTCTAGATAATCGAGGTTCGACTATACTAACTTTTTCAAATGAATAATTAAAATTAACGTAAAATGAGAAACGTTGATGTTAAACCTGGAATGTTAACATGTTTCAGCCAGCTGTAATGCGAGACTGTTAGGTCATTCAATTTACGTAACTTACCGAACGACTGAGATGCTTTAAAGAGATGCATGGGAAGAGGAGGTCGGTATTCACTAACAACACTGGCGTCGAGGAAAATCGTTTTCATCACAGGATTCCATCATGTTCTACGCATGGAACTTTAGCAATACCGACCCTCATTTTGTGCAGTTAGAATTTTATGTGATTAAATCCCTGTTTATTTATTTATGATTTCGGTGGTATTGTCTTCAAATTGATTACCTTAACGATGTACCTTAACGGTTCTGTATTTCGAATATTTTAATGCGACTCATTGCTGTCGATTCTGCTGGACCAGAACTATTTACTTGTATCAGCTGGTAAAAGATAGTTTCTCAGAAGTTATTTTGCGTTGAAGTCACGAACAAACACTGACATTTTCACTCTAATTGGAGTTCCCCATTCAGACAAGAAAACGGATAAAATGTTTTTCATCCAAAACAATACGTGCCGTAAGAATTTGGAAACGCAACAAATCGCTTGACCGCATTTTCGAGCATGCGCACAATAGAGCTTCCTTAGACTAAAACAATGGCAATAAAATGATATCACATTGTAATGTGTGTTGGTGTCGTTATCACTACAGTTAGGCAGTAAGGCTAACGGGGCTCTACTCTAAGAAGCAGAGCACTGTAGCTTGAAGGATTGGCTTCATCTGAAGAATTGCTTCATTCCAGCTCATCTGTGAGAGAGCAGTTCTATGACAGAACCTTCCAAGCCAAAGGGGTGGAAATGGGGAGCAGAAAATCCTAATAAAGACATAAACCACTGCCCTTCATCTAAAGTTGAATGTGAGGGCAATCCTCTGATTACAGAACCCTTTCCTGGGTCAATCGCTGTGCATATGAAAATCAGATAAAACTGAAATTTTGAGGATTGATTGCCAACCATTTTATTGCTAAGAGAGGCAAATGCCCGTGCTTGCTCATGTATTTCATGGATTCCTTTCATTCACGAATTGACAAGTTTTCTGTTATAAATTTTCTTTAATTCATGAATGTTTGCCTCAGAAAAAACATTGACTAGATTCTTTCCATCATCATAAGTGATGCCATGCTTGCTCAAGTATTTCATGGATTCCTTTCATCCTTGAATTTATAGGTTTTCTTTTATAACTTTTCTTTGATTGATGACTGTTTGCCTCAGAAAGAACATTGACCAGATTCTTCCCATCATCATAAAAGGGTGGAGCACTTTGTTGAAAGATGTCATCGTCAGAATAGGAGATCTGTCTGCGGCCACTCTGTGTCAGGCTGCCATGGCGACGCTCCTGTAATCTCTTAGTGTGGCTAAATGTAATGATTGACAAGATTGCAAAGATTGCAGCAAATGCCACGCCTATCATAATTCCAGCGTAGTGATGACTAAAGTCAATCATTTCCTCGTATTCTCCTTTTGAAACTAAGAAACAGTAAAAAAGCTAAAAGCTAAGTTGAAGAAAACCATATCACACTACATCAATAAAAAGCAGAAAATCGTCAAACGAACAGTGCATTTTCAAATTTTATAGTTACTACACCCTCTTCAACAGGCTGGGCCAAAACCCTTCATGTACCTATAGTTCTGAGTCTATATCATGACAAAGTCACTTCTAACCTCCTTGTTACAGTATCTTAGATGAAAGTGTAGATATGTTTGCTCACTTTTTATAATAATAATATAATAATAAATTGAATTGTTGGGCTCTGTATAAAGCGAAGGGGAGAAAGTTGAATCCAAGGCATAGCCTATGCTTTGGGATCTGGAAGAGAAAGCCTGAAAACCAACGATCTAACCAAAAACGCTCTTAATCACACTGTGAGGCACCAACTGAAGCCCAATTTAAACCTGGAGTCTTTTCCTGCTTTCACATGTGAAGACAACTTTGTCACTCTATTTTGACGGGTGTCGTCAAAGAGAATGCACACAAAAAGAGTGAAAGAAGATCAGCTGCATGTAATTGCAATCGAAATACTATAATTCACCCGTAAGTAACTATAGACGAGCTATAACTGGCTTTATTATCGAGGGGGGAAAATGATCAACGCCTTCTATAACATCCTGCGAGCGGAGATCCCTTCTATCTTCCTAGAAATGTCGAGAAAAGGAAGATCGAAGAGACCTCTGCTCGCAGGGTACTTCTATAATTGACGAAACAAGAAAAGAAAGATTACCGTTTGAATATCGATCACTTGATATGTATATTTTTTTTTTGTGAAAGGGCCCACGTCCTAGTCTGTGTTCGTAATTTTCACGTGAAGTCAGCTGGCTATGATTTTCTCCCTTCCACCTGCCGGTTCTAATTAATTGATTAATTAGATTGGTCTTCGAAACAAGCCATTCTAACTGAATTACAAGTTCAACTTTTGGTAGCTGAATGATAATCCATTGGGCAGAATGCCTATTGCTGTTGCGACATTCACTTGCAATAGCAAAAATTATAGACCTGTAATGTTAACAGCGAAGCATATATTGGTTGACTTTGATTAAATGAGATCTTACTCCCTCTCTCCCACAGGGAATACTGCTTTCGTTCATTAACTTCTCGAGGCGGAGTTAAGAAACAATGACCTTGCAAGTTATGGTTAGTGCTATTGTTTCGTTTCATCACACTCTAACAGCGAGTTTTAAAACCTAGCTATTGAAAATTCTTAAGCCTTCAACAGGTGTTTGCACCCTACTTTCTGCCAAACCATTTAAAATCAACAAACTTTTCACATCATTGCAAACCCCTCAAGTTTTATTTGTAGTTTAGGCATTATGAATTTTAAGAACACACACAACCGAGGATATGTCAAGAGCTTATTCAGTAACAAATTTCTGTCCGAGGTAAACCTCTCATCGAAGCAAGGCGTTTATCAACAAAAAAACCTTACATCTATGCAGGCTATGCCTTTTTTCACTACCTGCAACTCAGCTATGCTGAAAATTGAAATGTCCTTGCAAAACTTCGGTACCTTATCTGAGACAATGTGAACCTTGTTAAAATATTTTCCGAGGCACGCAGGAACAGACGGGCCTTCTCTGGGACCATAAGCCGCTTTAAAATGCCTTGTGTTGCTTGAGGTTACTTTAAGTCACCTTAAGTTGCCTTAAGTCGCCCTAAGTTTCCTTAAGTCGCTATTGGTCATGCAATCGTGTAAGGGCTCCACTCTTTAAAATTGACACCATTCCCTCGACTCCAATCATACGGATCAGAGAGGGAAGGATGACAGCCGAAGGGTTGGTGCACTGGACTCTAGATTGGGCAGTCCAGGTTTGGTCCCTAGCGAGGATGACTGCAATGTGTTCTCAGGCGAGATACTTTACTCTCAAAGTGCCTCAGGCAGCTATCTGTTATAATCAAATCTCTCTCTTGAATTTCATATTTAACAAGTAGATCAAAAGGTTGACACGGTATATTATCATCAGGAAATAATAAATATAATAATATAATTGATAAGTAAAGATTTGTGAAAACATTTTACATTAAAAATCTGCGATAAAATATTGGAAAACATTACACGACGTTTCGACGTTTCCAGAACGTCATTATCAAGTGAGAATGAAATAACAAAACTAAGATCTATGTAGAAGAGAAAATTAATAAATTAAGAGTCATTGAAATTCAAACAAAGAGCTTAGCCTTAATGGGGTCGCTGTGGGTGTTTATATTAGGTCTTATTGTTCTTATCATGTGTACAACATTTCTTTGACCAGGGAATCCCATTTCGTGCTACATTTTTTAAGCACCCGAAATTGGCTCTCATTGAGTAAGTTAACGTTCCCATGAGCATCTTTCAGATGACGACCAATGGCAGAATATCGATGATCAGCAATGAGTTGAAAGAGATGGTGTGTCGTATATCCGACATAATTTGAATCGCACAAATCACATTTATAACAATAAACAACGCTGTGTTGGTTTACGATATGTGTCTTGATTTCTTTAAGCTTAAGATCATGCTCAAGTTTCTTGC